ATGGAGGAATAATTGCAGAAGTGGAGTCCCTGAGTGAGCAAGGGACGACCGGATCCTCTGCACAGGTGGAGCTTTCACAGGAAAGAGACACATCACCCATCATGAGAAGTCCGAGAGTACGGGTATAAAAGCAGGTGATCTGTTATGATTCAGTGGTGAAAAGATGAAGGAATTCTTACCCACTTCTATTTTTTTAGTGAAAAAATAAAAGCAAGATCATCAACTAAGAATAAAGGAAAAGAGGAAACATAGAGTGATTTATGAAGCCTATTTTGGGAAGGCGAATATATAAGAGAAACATTATTGCAGGACCACTGGCAGGGTTGGGTGCACATTGTGTTCCCATTCTCACCAATAATTCTCCATCAGGACCATATCCATATTTACTCGTCTGTATTTCCCACTACATTACAAACTCTGTGAGAGTAGAAGCCATATCTGTGTGCTTCACAAGTTGAATTCCCAGCACCTTGGCAGAGAACCTAGCATATCATTGCTCAGTATCCTGACTTGACTATATGCCTGCTCACCATTTAACATGTACAGTGTTCAGCACTGAAGATGAAGAGATGAGAAGACAGCCCCTGCCCTCCAGGGCTCACCTTCCAGAGGGAAGGCAGACACCCAAATACAGCACAGTGCCTTATCTCTCTCACACACACATACAAGGTGAAAAAGGAATAAAGTGGAAAGACCTCAATCTGCTGGAGAGTCAGGTAAGGGTTTCAAAGGGCAATAAGCCAGGCATAGGGGTGTATGCCTATAGTCCTAGCTACTCAGGAGGCTGAGGCAGGAGGACTGCTTGAGCCAAGGAGTTTGAGGCCAGTCTGGGCAACACAGCAAGACCTTGTTCTCTTTAAAAACAATAACAAAAAAAAGGAAATGGCACTGAGCTGAGAAGTCTAAAAAGCGAAAGAATTTTGAAGGCAGTCAAGCAAAGGCAAATAGTTTGACACTTGAGAGTGTTCAGAGAATGACAAGTAGTTCAATACTGCTGGAGCATAGAGTATAGAAGAGGCAGAGGCAAGAGATGAAGCTGCAGACAGAGAGGAAGCCAGATCATGAAAGAGCCTGTATGTCAAAAAAACATTTTTAATTTTACTTTGGGAAACACAAATTGTACATGGGAGCGACACAATCAGATTTGCAAGTCAAATCAAGCCTGCAAACATAGTAGAAGATGGACTGGAAACCAGAGGCTGGAAGACCAGTAAGGAGGATTACAGTAGTCTACATAAGAGATATTGAGAGGCTAAAACAGAGGATGAAAAAGTAGCAATGACATGAAAGATATTTCGAAACAAGACTATCAGGCACAAGGGTGGCAAACTTCTAATCTCTTGGATAACAGTTATGGGAGATAATATTAGGATCCACAGATCTGATGGATAATTCCAAAGGAAATGCCGGGCCCCAATTCAAAATAGCCCAATAGCTTCCATGAGACAGAAAACTCTGGACTAGGCCTCCTTGCCTTACAGATTCAAATTGGTTTTGAATTTGTAAACTAGGAAAAACAAAACTATTTTTTAAGACAAAATTACCTCATATAGATTAGAGAACAGAACAGATGATAGTTGGGAAATGACTTAAAAACTTGTTTCAAGACCAAAGATTTCTTTTGAGGACAGTCAATGTTTTCCACTTATCCCTTCGAAATAGCACTTTAAATGAGCACAGCTTTCAGTTGGGCAAAAAAGGAAACTAAAGGGCTGCCAACACTGGAACATAATTCTAAAAAAGGGACAGATGTCCTCTTCTAGAGATATCTAACTACAAGATAAACAGCTAACTGAGGATGTTTGAAATCTGTCTGAAATAAGAAAAATATCCCACCTCTGACGTCCTTTTAAAGCCAATATATTATACTCTGATGATCAAAAAAAAAAAAAAAAAAGGATCTCTCAATGGCAACTTTCTACCTCTGGTTCCTTCTTGAAACCATGGGTAAGTCTCTCAGCTATGAGGGAATAGAAGAAAACAGACCATTTTCATACCATTAGGCCCAATAACAACAGGTTTTTAGACGTTTGGTAGCATTCTGAATTGGTTTAAAATGTACTGGTCAATTTCCAAAGAGCATATGCTAAACTAACACATGCAGAGGGAATAGAATAGACTGCCAAAAAAAAAAAAAAAAAAAATTAGGGAAGATTAAAGAACTTTTCCCTTCAATTCATCCTACATGCTAACACCAATTTTAAATCTCTCCCTTTAAAATAGCATCCTCAGAAGCTTTACTGTTACCTACAGGATAAAGTCCAAACTCCTGGCTGGGCGTGGTGGCTCACGTCTGTAATCCTAGCACTTTGGGAGGCCGAGGCAGGCAGATTACCTGAGGTCGGGAGTTTGAGACCAACCTGCCCAACATGGAGAAATCCCGTCTCTACTAAAAACACAAAATTAGCCAGGCGTGGTGGTACATGCCTGTAATCCCAGCTACTCGGGAGGCTGAGGCAGGAGAATTGCTTAAACCTGGGAGACAGAGGTTGCAGTGAACCGAGAACATGCCATTGCACTATAGCCTGGGAAAAAAGAGTGAAAATCCAACGTGGGGGAAAAAAAAAAAAAGTCCAAATTCCTTGGCCTGGCATTCAAATATCTAATAGCCAGCACTATCTAACCCTTCAACAGTATCTCCTACATTTCCTTCTCCCAGCTCACCGGACTCCTCCATTCTCTTGCAACAGGAAACTCCACAGAAAAGTTAGAAACCCCAGCACCATAAAAAGGAACAAGGCTACCTTTGCCAACAATCAAAACAAAGGATAAGCATCCAAATTTCCCATTAAAATCAGTCTCCAGTTGATGATCTAGGCTAACAAATGGCAGATTAAAACCAGTCTCCAGTTCACAATCCAGGCTAACAAATGGCAGAAGAGGCAGGATTTAGGAAAGTCAGTGCTGTCAAAAGAAGTATAAATCATACCCTTCTGTGGCAAATAAGAATTATCATGAATCCCTTCTTTTCCTGAAGTTGCTTTATTTCTCTGGCTCTATTACCTGTTATCTAATAGATCTGGAAATTCTAATCCCCCTTATTGGCCCCATTATTAATATGCCCTTTTACTAGGTTTTTCTTCAATGACAAGCCACCTAGTTCCTGTTGGAGAGCAGAAAGGCAGTGCAGTCTGCCAATTCAATTTCAGCCACAACGGGCTCAAAAACAGGTCTTAGCATAAGCAAAAGTCATTTGCTCAAAAAACCTTCTGGCTTTATTACACTGATAATCTGTAACTCGAGTCCATGCCCACTCTTCAGCAAACCACATTCTTCAAAGCGTCCATGAAAAATCATTCTTAACCCTAGACGCTTATGAAGGCAGGGTGACTTCTACATGGAGAAGGCATCTTTTTAAACTCAGCTTTCAGACCCTGCCTTGCTCCTACTCTTCCAGACCTGGAAACAAAAACATCAAACAAAATTAATCAGAAGTTCTCATCAAGGTTTCTTCTCCGGGCTGGCTAATAAAAACATTCAGTACTGTGGTAGAAGGTGGTGGATGGGTGATGGAGAATACTTAGAGCAGAGGGTAATGTATCTGGTCTGATGATGGTTAACACATCCTGAAGGCAAGGATGCCACCACAGACAACCAGGTCTTGGTCATCTAGGACACAAGTCAAAGATGGTAACTAAATATCCAATCAAAAGGTTAATCTGCAACTTCAGTACACAAGTCATTAGATCCTCAGGCCTGTTTTAAATTCTGAGAAGTATCTCTGGTGTGTCAGAACTAGCAATGCAAATGTATAAAAAGCATTCTATAGGTCTCTAACTTTAAGCACAGCACCACTGTCTCCAGACTTCTTTTTTTTTTGAGGCTGAGTCTCGCTCTGTCACCCAAGCTGAAGTGCAATGGAACTATCTCGGCTCACTACAACCTCCACCTCCCGGGTTCAAGTGATTCAAGGGATTACAGGCGTGCGCCACCATGCCCAGCTAATTTATGTATTTTCAGTAGAGACGGGGTTTCACCATGTTGGCAGGTTGGTCTTGAACTCCTGACCTCAAGTGATCTGCCTACCTCGGCCTCCCAAAGTGCTGGGATTACAGGCATGAGCCACTGTGCCAGGCCTCTAGACAATTCCAGTGCTGTATTTTGTCTGTATCCCAACTAGACCATAAACTCTTTAAGGACAAAGAACACGTGCCTGATGTATCCCCAAAGCTTTTACCATGATGCCTCATATTGGACTGAAAATATAACTGATGACCTGACTGATGATCACACTGAAAAGAAACCATGAATGCTGGCATGTTTTCAAAGTCAAAGTAGCAGGTGATACCAGCGATAGAGGCCACGCCTGTTTTCAGTATTCACTGAATCCCCGTTGGGCAAGAAAAGTCAGATTTTGACAAAAATTGATGGAGACAGTTCTCGCTAAATATAGCAGTCCACAAGGTTACCAAATCCTGGAATCAAAAGGAAAAATAAGGCTAAAATAGAATTATGTGAACAAAAATTGGGTTTAGGACAGTGAAATAACAACTTCCTCTATAAGAAAAAAAGTAGTAGCAGCTAAAAGGCAAAATCAAGTAAAGGATGATTCAATAAGAAAAGCACCAGCATTTATATTCTTTGCACTTTCATTGAAACATTTTACCGAAGATTGGTAGTGATTAGGTCAAGATGACAGAGATGATTCAAGGTTGGGTTTTTCATTTGAAAAGCCTACTAATTTTAGACTTTTGTTAAACCTAAGTTAAAGTTGGAATAGGGTTTTCCCCGGACCAATATTAAGTGAAGTGGATCACCAGGTGGAGTAGCAGCACGAACGTGGTTTCTTTAGACATTTAAGTCCAACTCCTACACAGCCGTTTGGTATTAGGCATGTGATCTAAGCTTTCTGGGCCTCAATTTCCCCATTCACAAAAAAAGGGCAATGCAGGCTCTTCTCATAACTTCAAGGGGCGGTGGTCTGATATAGAGTACTATGAAAACAAAAGCAGCACACCAAAGTAACACATTATTATTATGATCACTTATAGAACCATTACCCGCTAGGATGAAACTCCCCACACAAGAGATGAAGCCCGAGAGAAAAGAGTTGAAGGGGAAGGTTCCCACGAGGAGACAGTAACCGAATTGCAGCGCCCCGGTCAGCAGTATATACAGCAGGTACGCGTCCAGCAACTTCAGACGCTGCGGAGTGGAGCTCAAGTACTCTTCTAAGAACCGCGAAATGACAGACACTACCGACGCCGACATAACTACACGCAAGGTACTCCAGTCCGCGCGCCCAAAACTCCTAGAGGACCCGTCGACCACACCGGATGTGCTGTTTGCGCATGCGCACCGTCGTGACCTACCTCCGCGCCCCCGGGGTGCCAATTTGCGCAGGCGCTGAGGCAGGCCAGGTCGCGTAGCAACTACTGCGCAGACGTGGACTGCGTCAATAGCCCCAACTACAACTCGGAAAAGTTAATGCGTCTGCGCAACGGCCCTATCAATGAGCTGGGGACGTGTACTTTTTGTTCTGTTTCCGCCCGTCGGATTGGTGACGCCCACAGTTGCTCTGGCAACAAGACACAGTGGGAGGAAGAGGGGAATAGGCTTTACTGCGGACGGCGTAGCTAACCAGAGGGTTCCGGCTCTCTCTGGTCCTGAGTCCTGGAAGATTTAACGGTTTGCATCTACTTTGAGGCAATGCCTGGCGTTCCTGGGGTTTGATAACAGCCTGATCCTAATTCTGTTAAGGGCGCTGTCTGCAGATGTCTGTCACAGATCATTGGAACAAATCAAGTTCATCCGCAGTGAGACCCAGCGCGGCCAATAACTGTGCAGGCCCCAGTTTAGACTTAATTACTTGGGGGAGTGAGTGGGTGTGGTGAGGGGCGGAAGGCAGGGAGGAAGCCTGACCTCTGCAGGGTTCTGAACTGGAACTCGGGATTTGGCTCTGCAGTGCCAATATTTATTGGGCGCCTCCTTGGGGCCCGATGTTGTACTCACTTGTAGGGACTCTCACGTGAGTCAGATATATTTGCAGCCTTAAAAGAGCTGGTGAAGTGAGGGATAGTGGTCGAATATCGTGCAAAAAGCATATGGCCAAGTTTAGCAGCTCTCTTTCCACAAGCTGGTATCTTGAACCTGGTGTAATATCCCAGGACGTCAGCGCCGAAAGGCCCAAAAGAGCATTCCTGGTTAAACCCTACTGTCTCCAACTCAATTTACAGAAGAAACTGAAATAGTTTCAGGTTTTGTATTTTAACAAGTGGGATTAGTTTGAGCGTTTTAACCTTTTTTTTTTTTTTTTTTTTTTTTTTGAGTCTTGCTCTGTCGCCCAGGCTGGAGTGCAGTGGCGCGATCTTGGCTCACTGCAACCTCCGCCTCCCTAGTAGCTGGGACTACAGGCGCGCGCCACCACGCCCGGCTAATTTTTGTATTTTCAGTAGAGACGGGGTTTCACCATGTTGGCTAGGCTGGTCTCGAACTCCTGACCTTGTGATCCGCCTGCTTCGGCCTCCCAAGGTGCTGGGATTACAGGCATGAGCCACCGCACCCGGCCCGTTTTAACTTTTTTTTAAAAAAACTTAAGTTCTGGCTTTCGTGGCCCTTTTAATTTCACATCAATCCAACCTTGTAGACCTAGTTCATCTCACCTTTTAGCTGTAAGTTTTACTATACATAACCAGGTACTTTCTTTTCAGCTTCTAAATAATTTGAACAGTACGTGAGCAAAATTCCTAAAACAGCAAGTGAACAACAGCATTCCAACCTTTTCACTTTTTTTTTTTCAGATGGGGTTTTGCTCTTGTCACCCAGACTGGAGTGCGATGAATGGCACGATCTCGGCTCACTGCAACCTCCACCTCCTGGGTTCAAGCCATTCTCCTGCCTCAGCCTCCTGAGTAGCTGGGATTACAGGCACCTGCCACCACGCCCGGCTAATTTTTGTATTTTTAGTAGAAACAGGGATTTTGCCATGTTGGCCAGGCTGGTCTCAAACTTCTGACCTCAGGTGATCTGCCTGCTTCAGCCTCCCAAAGTGCTGGGATTACAGGAGTGAGCCAACCTGCCAGCCCCTTTTCACTTTTTATTTGCCTTTAGACTGGAAACTGTATACACATTAACTAACAAATGTATTATCAGTGGTCAGCAAAGCCTTACTTAAGTTCTAGAAATAAGAGAAATAACCTAAGAAACCTTTACAGTCTATTTGAAGAGAGAGATTTATATTCATACCCATGGAGATTTGTGCAGCTATTTGAACATAAGTTCAGCCTAAACCTATGTTGCTGAGAAGGAAAAAAAAAAAAAGAGTAGATAGCAAGCTGGTTCCTATTTCAATATAATATGGCAGGAAGCATAAATTTCTCTGACAAGTTGAACTTTTCTCTCTGCCTCATCAACAAGTAGGAGGGTAGCTTCCTCACGAATATTCAACTTCAAACTTTACAGGCTAGGCTGATGCTTTTTAATCATTCAGGTGTGGATTCTTCAGGGAGTTTCTGTTCCATCAGCCAGGCTCCTTCCAGCGGTTTCTCCCTTAATGTTTTGTCTGCCTTTGATCTATGTCAACTATCATCATTAAGATCTCCCCAGGAACTCTCACAGGAAAGAAGAAGAAGAGATGAAAAACATCAAATGCACTCATCGAATGCATTTGTTTCTGAGACCTGCTAGTCACACCAATATACTACACTAGGGCTTTTCTGAACTACTTAAAACAGCAAGAAAAGGCCTATTCAGTTTATGATTCTATAATCATTGAAACATTTTAACTGATTTTAATTTCAATAGGAAATTGCTAACACTAGTGTTGATTTCAATTAGTTTAAATCGGAATATTAATATAGTTAAAAATTCTTGTCCAGAGTAGTGGATAAGAGTGCAAGCTCTAGAATCAGACAATCCTAGGTTTGAACCTTGATTCTGCTGTTTACTAGTTGTCTAATCTGGAATAAGTTATTCAGTCTCACAGTCTCATTTTCCTTTTCTATAAAACAGAAATAATACCTGTCTCATTGAAATGATGTGAGGATTAAATGAGATAATGTTAAGCATTAAGCACTTCGCATAGTGTTTGGCAGACAGTAAATGTTCAGTAAATGTTTGCTCTTATTAACTATCATTAATCCTAGTAATTAGCCGTGTCTGCTTCTCCTATTTCTCTGAATGATTAAAAGTTGGCCAAACTACAGTGCCCCCAATAATTTGGGTATGCAAAAGATAGCACTGGAGGGACTGCAACTCAAATGGCTCTTAAAGGGCAGATCTAATTTATAAGCTGAAACTGAAGTCAGAGTATACTTTAGGGGTTTCATTACTAAAATAATATCATAAAACAATGGAAGAGTGGAGGAACAAGAGGGTTCCCTTAAGGGCAAAGTCCGTGATTTTACATCATTCATCTCTCTACAAAAAGAAATCACTTTATTTACCAAAAGAAACACAAATCCTCCAAAGTTTAAGTAGAAAATGACTCTTCTAAAGAAAATCTCCGCATGGAAAAGAATGTCTTTTCCAATTCCTTTCCCTTGTGTTGTCACTTTTGCCTTAAGATTCCCCCCTTTGCTTCTGTTTACTACTATTGCATATATCACCTCTACCTTTTAAACTTTGGCCCTAGCGTGACCAAAACCCCCTCTCTTTGTTGCCTAATAGAACCGATAAAACAGGTTATTATTTTCAAAAATAAAAATGTAAGGAGAATCAAGTTGCAAATAGCACAAAGTCAAATTTTTGAAGTATCGAATTTCTGATCAAGTCCTAGTAAAGCAGTAAATATCTTCAGTGAACCCATATCCCTTCATCCTTTCAGTTTCTGATGAAGTGGAACAAATTTTCAGCTCCTTTGTCTGGTTTCCCTCCCTCCTAGCTGTTTGGGAGTCTCACAAAAACCTCAGTTTTGCCCCCTTGCTGGCACCCAAAAGTGAGTCCACCACATTGTCCTTTCCAAGAACAGATCACTCACCACAACATGGGGCTAAAATCATCAGTTCCTGAGCAACACTGTGCAATGGAATTTTCTGTGATAATGTCTCTGCACTGCCCAGTATAGTAACTGCTAGACATATGTGGCTGTTGAGCACTTAAACTACAGTTAGTGTTGTAACTCAAATGCAGGTTCAGTCTCTCGCTGCTTGCAGAGTCCACTTAACAAGAGTGAGATCTGGTGTAAAGAAAATGATATTTTATTCCAAAGCTACCTTAGGGGAGGAAGTATAGGTTTTCTGCCTTAAGGGTACCACTTCACTTTTGGAGCAGAAAGAGGGTGCTTTTGAAATGGGGCCTGGAATACTGGCATGAATGGCACACAGGGGAGGAATCAAGTGGTTGAGGGGTCTGCATACTACCTTCAGTGCCTTGTCTACTGGACGGTGACTGCTGGTGCCTTTTGTGGGCAGGACTTGGTTGTAAAAGTGGCCAAAAACTCTCCAGGTAAGAGAAAGCTTTGTAGCAGGCATACTTTGGGTTGTAGATGGACTGTTGTCTCTCAAGGCAACCTCTCAGTGGGTGAGAGTTCCTCTCTGGAGCTTCTAAGTAATAGTTAGATGAACCTGCCCCATAGGGAGTGTCTGGTAAAGAGGAGGTAAAAGGCTACAATTGCATTTCTAAAGAGCTAAGGAAGAAGTGAGGAGAAGGGGTAAAAGAAGAGAGATTTTTTTTTAAATCATTAAACTATCTCTTAGAAAAATGGGGATACTTGGTTACAATGTGACTAAGGAAATTTTATTTGGCTTTTATTTAAATCTAAGTAGCCACTGTGGCTAGTGGCTGTCGTTGGACAGAGCAACTTATGAGCTATTCCACGCATTTCTAGGTTCAATCAAAGAGATATATCTTGTTCATAGTTCATTCAAATGGCAGTGATACCCATTTGAAACAAAAGAATAATCTATAGCTGCCAGGCCTGAGCTATGAGTTTATCAGCCCCACCTATTTTTGGAATACTTAATGATGACTTACAGTCATAGAAAGAGGGTTTGTAACCTCCCAAGGAGTTCACCTGGCCCATTGCCTAGACAGAGCCGGTTCATCAAGACGGGGCAATTAGAATGAAAAAAGAGTAATTCATGCAGAGCCAGCTGTGCAGGAGACTGGAATTTTATTATTACTCAAATCAGTCTCCCCAAGCATTTTGGGATCAGAGTTTTTAAGGGCAACTTGGTTGGGGGAAACCAGGAGTCCTGATGGTCAGGGATGAAATAATAAGTTGAGGCTGTCTTCTTGCACTGAGTTCCTGGATGGGGGCGCCACGAGATCAGATGAGCCAGTTCATCGATCTGAGTGGTACCAGCTGATCCGTCAAGTGCAGGGGCCGCAAAATATCTCAAGCACTGATCTTAGGAGCAGTCCAGGGAGGGTCAGAATCC